CTTCCCCACCATCCTAGCTCCTCGTCCGAGGGGCAGTCCTGGGAAAATGATGAGGAAAAATTGATTTAAAATTGGCTGCAGCATGGCTCACTGGCAGCAGAGCAGAGCTGAAGCTCAGCCAGCAATCTCTTTGTTTTTTTTTGAGACAGAGTCTTGCTCTGTCACCCAGGTTGGAGTGCAGTGGTGAGATCTCGGCTCATGGCTTACTGTGACATTTGTCTCCCAGGCTCAAGCAATTCTCATGCCTCAGCCTCCTGAGTACTGGGACTACAGGCACCTGCCACCCTACCCGGCTAATTTTTATATTTTTAGTAGAGACAGGGTTTCGCCATGTTGGCCAGGCTGGTCTCAAACTCCTGACCTCAAGTGATCCACCCGCCTCAGCCTCCCAAAGTGCTGGGATTACAGGCCTGAGCCACCGCCCGGTGCCAGCAATCTCCTAAAACGCCTGGGCCTGATGGGAGTCGTGCCCATTTTCTCCCAGGGGCTCATGGGAATTGCAGTCCAGACTTGCTGGGGACTCTCCACTGCCCCCCCGTCCCCACCCAACCCCAGCTCCTCAGAACCCTGAGTCCAAACATCTGAGGCTCCAGGGTATTCAGCCCTCACCTTCCTGACTCCTCTCCTGATCTACAGGAGACTGACAAACTGGAAGATGAGAAATCTGGGCTGCAGCGAGAGATTGAGGAGCTGCAGAAGCAGAAGGAGCGCCTGGAGCTGGTGCTGGAAGCCCACCGACCCATCTGCAAAATCCCCGAAGGAGCCAAGGAGGGGGACACAGGCAGTACCAGTGGCACGAGCAGCCCGCCAGCCCCCTGCCGCCCTGTACCTTGTATCTCCCTTTCCCCGGGGCCTGTGCTTGAACCTGAGGCACTGCACACCCCCACGCTCATGACCACACCCTCCCTAACTCCTTTTACCCCCAGCCTAGTCTTCACCTATCCCAGCACTCCTGAGCCCTGTGCCTCAGCTCATCGCAAGAGTAGCAGCAGCAGCGGAGACCCATCCTCTGACCCCCTTGGCTCTCCAACCCTCCTCGCTCTGTGAGGCACCCGAGCCCTACACCCTGTAGGTGCCACCCTAACCAACGTCTCCTCCCCTTCCCCCACCGGTCCAGCCGGCCTGGACAGTATCCCACATCCAACTCCAGCAGCTTCTTCTCCATCCCTCTAATGAGACTGACCATATTGTGTTTCACAGTAGAGCCAGCTTGGGGCCACCAAAGCTGCCCACTTTCTCTAGAGCTGGCCTCTCTAGCACAATTTGCACTAAATCAGAGACAAAATATTCCCCATTTGTGCCAGAGAATTCCTGGCAGCCCAGAGACTTTGTAGATCCTTAGAGGTCCTCTGGAGCCCTAACCCCTTCCAGGTCACTGCCACACTATCCATCACCCTCTTCCTGTGATCCACCCAACCCTACCCCCTGACAGAAGGTGCCACTTTGCCCACCTAGAACACTAACTCACCAGCCCCACTGCCAGCAGCAGCAGGTGATTGGACCAGGCCATTCTGCCGCCCCCTCCTGAACCGCACAACTCAGGAGGTGCCCACGGCTTCTGTGATGAGCAGATCTGCGGATCTCAGCTTTGAGAAGCCTTCAGCTCCAGGGAATCCAAGCCTCCACAGCGAGGGCAGCTGCTATTTATTTTCCTAAAGAGAGTATTTTTATACAAACCTACCAAAATGGAATAAAAGGCTTGAAGCTGTGGCCTGAGCGCCTCACCGGACCCCAAGGCCAATGGGAGAGTATTTGAGCCCTAGGTCCCAGCCTTAGCTCTACAGACTGACTGCATGACCTTGGACAAATTCTTTGATATTTTTGGACTTTGTCTTATCTGACAACTGGGGCTACATCCGCTCGGCCTCATCTCCAGGACTGAGAGGAGAGAGTCCTCTGGGGTAAAAGCGAAGAGGTTTACCGTCCCTCTTCCCGTGGGGGCCCACAGTGCTGTTGCGTGTGCCACGGTGGGGCGCTGTTATGCCCCCTTCCAGCCTCAGAGGAGGGGGCCGAGTGGTTCTAAGCCCCCAGCAGCTGCTTCCTGCCCCATTGTCTTGAACAGGAAGGAGCCGGGAAGGGAGCTGGAGCCACTTCAGGGGCTGGATTCTGGCCGGTCCCGGCGCCCGATGGGGGAAGTCTGGTTTACCGCTGCCCCGCATCCCACCCCAGGCTCGAAGTAATGGGGGAATCATTAGTTCTGCAGTCCTTCTGGATGGGAATAGTACCCTGTTTCAGCACCCCACCCTCGCCCCAACCCCGGCGAGTACCAAACAGACGCTGCCCAGGCCGCGGGCTCCGCTTCCGTCCGGGTTTATTACCCCCAATCCAACCCCCAGCAAGTCCCTCCGCTCCAGCCTTCAGTCCCCCTGCTGCCCTGCCAGCAAGAGCGAGGGGCCCTTATCGGTGTCAGGATTTCTTAGTCCATGCCAGCGGCCCCTCTTGCGCAGCCAGGACGGCGTCCAGGTCCCGAGGTCCACAGCGGTCCTGGGGCTCGGGGAGCAATCCAGGCGGGCATCGGCGTGGAGGAGGCAGTGCCTTCAGTCATCGGGGGAACAGGCCAGGGGCAACTGATCCGGACTGCCCACGCTGCCGGTGCTGGAGCTTCCATCGCCTAGGTCGCGGGGCCCACACGGGGGCAGAGCAAGCTCGGGTGCCGGCCCGGCGCCTGAGCCCCCCGCGCCACCGGGGCCGCCGCGGGGGCCCCATTCTTCGCCCAGCGCCAGGCAGAGCTCCTTAAGCGCCAGGTTCTCCCGCAGCAGCTCCTCCTGGCGGCCCTCCAGCTCGGCCAGCTTCTGCCAACAGCCGCCCAGGTCCTCGCGCACTGCCCGGGATGCTTGGGTCCCGAAGAGCTGCCACTGGCGCGCGGCGCGCCGCCCGCGCTGGCGCTCCGAGTCCAGGAAGCAGCAGAGGTCGCGCAGCTCACGGTTTTCTGCCTGCAGACGCCGGTTGAGCTGCTTGAGTTCGCGGATCTCGCCCAGGTGGCCCTGCAGCTGCCGATTCACCTCCTGCATGAGGCGGCCACGCTGCACCAGTGCCGCCAGGCGCGCCGCCTCCTCCCTCCGCAGGCGCCGCACTAGCTCTTCCTTGCCCAGCGCCGCCATCTCTTCGTCCGTCAGCTCCTCCAGGCCGCCTGCCTCGGCCTCCATGGCTGGTCAGGCCGCTGGAGCATCGCCCGCCCGCCGCCGCGACCCAGGAGCCCCACGTCGGGCCCGGCGCCACTCAGGGTCGGGCTCCGGCTCCGCGCGCGGCAGGCAGTGGCCGAGGCAGCGTAGGCTGCAGCGGCTACCCCGGCTGGGCACGCGGCGGGGCGCGCGCCGGGGCGGGGCCGCACGACGTTATGGAAGGACAGCCAATCTGGTGAAACGTCCCCGGAAAGGGGCGGGGCCTGAGTTCAGGGGGCCCCTTCCCCACCCACTCCTAGTGTTACTTATCCTCGATGTCAAGGAAGGCCCGCGTCATCGCCCTCCGCACCGGTCTCAACCCGAAACTAGGAGCTTCGAACCTCCAAGTACCGGATCGCCCTAAGCTCGAGCCTAGGCCTCTCGGCTTTTCTGAGAACCAAGATTCAGGCGTCCACCCCGGACTCCTGCCCATCCCCGACGGAAGTCAGATGGACCGCTCTCCAGTCCCTCTTTACCTTTGATCAAATTCGGAAGTCTGGGCTCACTAAGGATTGCTCCCGGTTCCTTGGAACCCTAAGTCCAAACGTTCTAGCTCACCGTTAGACTACTATCCCTCCCAGGGAGCGTTTCTTGCCTGGGGGGGAGGAACATACAGGATTCGTTTGTTCAATAAACGTTTTTTATGTGCAAGGCCCATGCAGAAATAAATTTAACCAAAATACTGATTCCATCCTCAAGGAGGACGCAGTCTGTCCGGGAAGACAAGCTGTGTTAAACAAGAAACAAATCGGGGAGAAGTATGGTCTGAGGGTCCTTAAGAGGATTCCCAAAAGGGATGTTATCCAAGAGGCTCTGGTAGATCCATAGGACTTTGCCCAGTAAAGAGCTATTTCAGGGAGAGAGAATAACAAGGTGAAAGACACTGGTGCCCAAAAGAGCTTAGTTGCTTTAGGAACAATGAGGATAGCTTGGTGGTTTTTGAAAAACAGATGTGTCCAGAAAACGCGAGAGAGACAGCGAGGCTTCAAGGGTAGGTAAAAGCCAGATTCTTAAGAACTTCCAGTACTAGGTTGGAGCATTTCCAAAGGCCAGTAAGGATGTTAAGCAAGGGAGTAACATTTGTAAGGATGTTAAGCAAGGGAGTAACATTCTAAGATGTGCATTTGGCCGGGCGCGGTGGCTCACGCCTGTAATCCCAGCACTTTGGGAAGCCGAGGCGGGCGGATCACGAGGTCAGGAGATCGAGACCATCCTGGCTAACACAGTGAAACCCCATCTTTACTAAAAATACAAAAAAGAAATTAGCTGGGCTTGGTGGCGGGCGCCTGTAGTCCCAGCTACTGGGGAGGCTGAGGCAAGAGAATGGCGTGAACCCAGGAGGCGGAGCTTGCAGTGAGCTGAGATCGCGCCACTGCACTCCAGCCTGGGCGACAGAGCTAGACTCCGTCTCAAAAAAAAAAAAACCAAAAAACCAAAAAACAAATATATATATACACACACACACATATACACACACACATATATACACACACACATATACACACACACACACACACACACACATATATATGCATTTAACTGGCCAAGATGGTGAAACCCCGTTTCTACTAAAAATACAAAAATTAGCCGGGCGTGGTGGGAGGAGCCTGTAATCCCAGCTACTCCATAGGCTGAGGCAGAGAATTGCTTGAACCCAGGAGGCGGAGGTTGCAGTGAGCCAAGATCGCGCTACTGCACTCCAGCCTGGGCGACAGAGCGAGAAGGCTCTGTCTTAAAAAAAAAAAAAAAAAAAAAAAAAGTATTTAAAAAAGATTGGGCCGAACCCTACGGGGAGGGGGACATAAACAGGGAGATTGGTAACTGTGCAAGGAGCAAGGAGAGCTAAGCAGAAAAACGGCTGGGGCAGCGTCAGTGGGGGTGGAGAGGACAAACAGATACTAGAAATATTCGGGAGGCAAATCAGCCGAACTGAATGTGGGGAGAGAGGAGTCTGGGAGAACGCCCAGGTTTCTCGTATGAGAACTGGTGGATGTTAGGGTTATCACTGAGATAGCGACGCAGGAAAGAAACAAATGGGGAGAGCGAGAGGTCTGTCTAGAATATGTTGAGCTTTTGAGGGGCTTACAGGAAGAGTGTGGACAGACTTGGCCAATAGGCGGCCCCTCCGGATGTGAACTTCCAGGCAGAGCTCAGAAGGGCAGAATTAGCGACGTCAGTAGCTCGTGGGGATGGGGGTGTGGTTAAAACCAAGGTGGGAGCAGGCGCCCCAGGCCCAGGAGAGGTGCTCATGCGCAGGATGGACAAAGGGGTCTCCAGCAAGAGCCCGAGGAAGTCGGGCCATACCCCATTTTTGCGGAGAAGAGATTTAGTACAGAGCCCTGTGAAACCCCCTAAGTTTAGGATACAGGTCAAACTTAGGAGGTCCCGAAGAGGGCAGAGAAGGTGGGAGAAAAGCCAGGAGGAAGTGAGGGGAGAGGTTGCGGGGCCCGTGGAGACGAAAGGAGGAACTCCCTTCGCGCTCCTGCAGACCGCCGCGGGGAGACAGGACGCAGGAGCCCGGGACTCCCCCTCCCGGCGGGAGGAAGCGTTGCTCCTCCGCGTAGTCCTCCTTCTCTCTTCCCTCGCCGCTCCCGCCCCGTCCCCGCCCCCACTGGCTGTGTCCCGGAAGTGGTCCTATGCTGGGTCCGGATGCCGGGAGCGGAATCTCGGCACTCCCGGAAGTGGCCTGGAGGCGGTGGGCCAGGCCCGAGCGGTGCTCCCTCCTGCTCGGGCCGCCTCGGCCCCGGGCGTCGCCATGACCAGCGAGCTGGACATCTTCGTGGGGAACACTACCCTTATCGACGAAGACGTGTATCGCCTCTGGCTCGATGGTTACTCGGGTCCGTCAGGGACGTGTGGGGAAGCCCGTCAGCGGAGCGGTTGTTTTGAATGGGAGAGGGGGCGGGGCTAGGACTTGGTCATCCTTTAGGGAAGTGGGCGAGCGCCTGGGAATAAGGGGTGTTATAGGGGTCGGGGATGGAATCCCTTAAGGGCTTCTGGCGTCGGCGGGGCGGGACCTGATGCTAGCGCCCACTTTCCAGTGACCGACGCGGTGGCCCTGCGGGTGCGCTCGGGAATCCTGGAGCAGACGGGCGCCACGGCAGCGGTGCTGCAGAGCGACACCATGGACCATTACCGCACCTTCCACATGCTCGAGCGGCTGCTGCACGCACCACCCAAGCTACTGCACCAGCTCATCTTCCAGATTCCGCCCTCCCGGCAGGCACTACTCATCGAGAGGTGCTCACCCTGTGGGATGGTGGAGGCATCAACCAGTCTGACTGTATACCCATTTTCCCGGCTGAAACAGGCCCAGGGAGGGATGGGACTTACCCAGCCATCTGAAAGTTGAGAGCTGAAGGGGTCAGACCCAGGCTCTGCCAGGCCCCTCCAGGCCCCCTTTCCTCTTTTATGGGGGGGTCAATGGTGTTGTCTGACTTCACAAGGTACTATGCCTTTGATGAGGCCTTTGTTCGGGAGGTGCTGGGCAAGAAGCTGTCCAAAGGCACCAAGAAAGACCTGGATGACATCAGCACCAAAACAGGCATCACCCTCAAGAGCTGCCGGAGACAGGTGGGCACTGCACCCACACAGACACAGCATCCCATTTGCACTTCACTCCCTCCCTTTGACCACTGCCCCAGCTCCAGCCTCTGACTGTGGCAGCAGCTTCATACCTAGTCTTCTCCTCCCTTCCCCTTTCCCCTCCTTTTTTTTTTTTTTTTTTTTTTTTTTTGAGACAGAGTCTTGCTCTGTGCCCCAGGCTGGAATGCAGTGGTGTGATCTCGGCTCACTGCAACCTCCACCTACTGGGTTCAGGCGATTCTTGTGCCTCAGCCTCTGCAGTAGCTGAGATTACAGGCGCCTACCACCACACCCGGCTAATTTTTGTATTGTTAGTAAAGACGGGGTTTCACCATGTTGGCCAGGCTTGTCTTGAACTCCTGGCCTCAAGTGATCATCTGCCTTGGCCTTGCAAAATGCTGGGATTACAGGCGTGAGCCACTGTGCCTGGCTCCCTGTTGCTCCTTCCAAGCTATCCTGTACTGTATGGCCAGAGTGACCTTTCAGAAGCCCAGATCTGACTTTGGGCTCCCACTGCGTCCTGGGTAGCAGCTGCACTTCTTGGCTTTGACCTATGGACTGTCCTGTGATCTCGTCCCTGCAGACCTCTCTAGGCTTACATTTCTCCAGCCCCCAGGCTTTCCTTTACTCATGTTGCTCTACCTGGAGGGTACTGTTGGCAGTATCTACCTCTTGAAATCCAAGACAGGAGATGAGATGCCACCTTCTCCACAAGCCTTTTTGGTGCGCCAGGAAGAAGTAACCCTTCTGGGCCTTTGATGCCTTTCTTTTGTATCTCCTGTGAGCTTTCTGTTTATAGCTTAGCATTTGTTTTTTATTTTTTAGTTCCTGGGGCTTAGCCAGGAAAGTCTGTTCCAACTCAAACTTGTGAAGATCTGGAGAGCATGGTGCTAAAATGGGGTTGGATTTAGAGATAAGATTGAGTAAACATTTATCCAAGGCAAGATACGGCAGGAGCTGCTAAGCATTTGAGTTGATAACAAGTACTAATAACCAATAGTTGGTTGAAGGAATAACAGATGCTAAATCAGCACTTGCCAACTGGATAGGTGGATGGGGAAGGGAGGGTTCAGTAAGCGGTTTATTGGGTGAGCGACATGGTGGATACTCTGACCAGTCTTCTCTTCTATCTACCCTAACTGCCCTGCAGTTTGACAACTTTAAGCGAGTCTTCAAGGTGGTAGAGGAAATGCGGGGCTCCCTGGTGGACAATATTCAGCAACACTTTCTCCTCTCTGACCGGTTGGCCAGGTGAGGAGCTAGCCACCTCCCCATCCTGCACACTACTTCCCTGGGCTCTGAGGCTCGTCCACCTTCCCTACCCCAACCCTTCTGACCTCCTTAGTATGCTGGGGGAATGATTATCCCACTTTTGGTCTGTACTTTTTTTTCTTTTTTTTTTTGAGACGGAGTTTCACTCTTGTTGCCCAGGCTGGAATGCAATGGTGCAGTCTCGGCTCACTGCAACCTCTGCCTCCCAGTTCAAGCAATTCTCCTGCCTCAGCCTCCCGAGTAGCTGGGATTACAGGCTTGAGCCACCGCACCCAACTTGGTCTGTACTTTGGACCAGACTGACCTGGATGCAAAGCACAGTCCAGCGATTTCCAGTTGGGCTGTTGAGAGATGCCATATGTAAAGCCATGGCACAGCCCTGGCACTTAGGAAGTGCTCAGTAAATAGTAACTGTTACCCTTATGGTCTCCCACTGTATCCACTAGGAAACTTGGGCTGGAACCTTCTTTTCGCACAGATGGGGAAAGGGCATAGAGAAGTGACTTGAGACATCTCACACAGCAACTTGAGGCGGAGAGAGGCCAGAACTCGGACACCCAGCTGAGGTTGCAGCTGCTTCCTAAGAAGGAATTTCAAGCCCTGAGGACCCTCCTCTCTTCTGTGCAGGGACTATGCAGCCATCGTCTTCTTTGCTAACAACCGCTTTGAGACAGGGAAGAAAAAACTGCAGTATCTGAGCTTCGGTGACTTTGCCTTCTGTGCTGAGCTCATGATCCAAAACTGGACCCTTGGAGCCGTCGGTGAGGCCCCCATCGACCCAAGTGCCTGGATGCCTCCCCATCCTCAGGATCTGATTCCCCACCAGTAGTTTCTCCCACAGGCCCCCAGTTCCCAGCATTCGCTCCTGTTCACGGCCCACACCCAGGCTACCCTGCCCATAGAATGTTTTCCCACACACAGCTTGTCTGCAGACAGAGGGCCTATTGCCTGTCTGTGGCCCGGGACATGTCCCTGCATCTCTCTGACACTCCATTTCCTCTTCTGTCCCTGGGGGGAAATGAGGTATTGGGTGAGGAAAGGCTTAGGCTATCCCAGGAGGGGATTTTGTCACCCACCGCAGCCCCCTTCATGGCCTCGTAGACTCGCAGATGGATGACATGGACATGGACTTAGACAAGGAATTTCTCCAGGACTTGAAGGAACTCAAGGTGCTAGTGGCTGACAAGGACCTTCTGGACCTGCACAAGAGGTGACCTTGTAGGGGGCCATGGGGCAGGGCCTGCAGTAGGGGCCCAGGTGGCTATAGGTGTGACCCTGTCTCTGCAGCCTGGTGTGCACTGCTCTCCGGGGAAAGCTGGGTGTCTTCTCTGAGATGGAAGCCAACTTCAAGGTCTGTGGTCCCATCCAGCCTCTGGCCTTTGGCATCGTCAGCCTCCAGTTCGCCACCTCTACTGGGCAGCTCTGCCCCTCCCAGAGACTGGCCGGCAGGTGGCGCTGCTGCTCCCTCTGGTGGCTGCTGATGGCGGCCGCTGACGGGAGCAGCTCATAAACAATGGGGACTTGGTTGATGGAGGGAGGTGGATGGATCTGGGGAGGGACCTACTCCTCCCCCAGCTTCTGTGCTCAGCTCCCAACTTCTGGGGCAGAAAGCAGAACTCCAAGGATCCCTGCCCCACAGAACCTGTCCCGGGGGCTGGTGAACGTGGCCGCCAAGCTGACTCACAATAAAGATGTCAGAGACCTGTTTGTGGACCTCGTGGAGAAGGTGAGCTGTCGTGCCCTCTGACGCCCAACCTGGCCTGTTCCCAGCCTAGACGAGTGCTAAGTATTCTCTTGGGCCCACAGTTTGTGGAACCCTGCCGCTCCGACCACTGGCCACTCAGCGACGTGCGGTTCTTCCTGAATCAGTATTCAGCGTCTGTCCACTCCCTCGATGGCTTCCGGTGAGCAGTCCTGTCCTCCTGTCTAGCTTGGCCTTGCCCCAGCCTGCCACCTGCCAGGACCTCACCTCCTGCAGACTCAAGGTTCCTCATTCTGCTACCCTGGGGGTAGGACCAAAGCTCTGGCTCCCCTAGAAGCTGTGTGATTTGGGGCAGGTTTCTTAACCTCTCCTTGCCTCAGTTTCCTCATATACAAACTGGGGTTCATCATGAGAAGAACTGTAAGAATTTTCTAAGGGCAAAATGAGTGACGGTGTAGAAAGCACTCAGGGCAGGGCCTCCACCATGGTGAGTGTTGTGAAAACTCAGCTGTCACTGTTCATGTTCTTACAGACACCAGGCCCTCTGGGACCGCTACATGGGCACCCTCCGCGGCTGCCTCCTGCGCCTCTATCATGACTGAGGCCCCTCCCAATGTCCCGCCCACACTGACAATAAAGTTGCCCTGAGTTTGGAGACTGGTCCTCGCTACGGGGAGCAGGTGGGGGGCGTGCAGATGTGCCTGTGTCTGTCTCTGAGCACCTGGTGTCCGTGTACAAGGATGGACATTTACAGTGGCCTCTTGGGAACTGGGACATATCTCAGGGAATGGTGACTGTGCTCCGCCCATCCACCAGAAGAGTCCACTCACAAGCCAGAGGTCTTGTCTTGGTTTATTCAGGCTGTATTGAGATTGGGAAGATGGGCAAAAACCTGGGGGTAGGGCTGGCGAGGAGGCAGCTGGCCTAACAGGACAGAGCTGAGGGGGCCAGGTGGGTTCAGGGAGGGCAGGAGACTCGGGGCTTCACATCCGGTTTCTGCACACGGGCAGTGAGCGGGAACCTGGTGATGCCACAGGTATTGCTCCCTCGGTGCAGCCGGAAGTAGCCCTAGGAGGTTAGGGGACACAGGGGTGGGAAGGTGGGAAGAGGCCTGTTCTGCCTTGCCCCTCCCCCAATAGATCACACTCACCTTCTCTCCCCACTGGGCCCCCCAGGAGTTCTTCAGGATCCAGTATGGGGTGGGGTGTGGAGGCTGAGGCTGAGACTGCGATGAGACTGTCTCTGCCCATATCCCCTCTGACTTGACGCTGCCAAAACCCACCAGCAGGACAGAGTGGTCCACAAGCTGGGGGTCACAGGTGGTGGGTGTGGCCTTGATCACACCTTTCTGGTATAGCTGCAGGGGGTGGGGGCCGAGGGGCTGAGTGTAGGGCCAAGTCCCCTGTGTTCCCCTCCCCCGCCAGCTCCCCCATCCCACCTGCAGGGGCTTCATGTTGATGGTCACGGTGATGGGGCCGTAAGTGGCCAGGTACTGGGCAATTCCTGGGGACGGGAGCATCATCAGACCCTTGGCATGTGGGCGTGTCAGTTTCTCTCTCGCTCCTTCGCTCCTCCCACCCCCTCTTGTCTTCTAGCCCAGTCACCCAGTATGTCTGCCTCTGCCCCGGTGTCTGTCCCTGCTGTCCGCCCACGTCCCTGCCCTGCCCACACTGTGCTCGCTGTTCTGCAGCATGATGAAGTCCTGGATCCAGGCCACCTTGTGGTACTTCTTGGCGTGGCACCCTTGGGCTCTGACTTTACCCTGGAACGGGTAGTCCTTTTCACTGGCCAGGCCGCCTGCAGATAAGCAAGACAAGGGAGGAGGCTCCGCTCCTGCCCACCCTGTCCCCCTGCAGATGCACAGAGTGGCAGGGCAGCGCACTCACTGTTGTTGAGGACAGTTATGAACGCGTCCCAGACGAAGCCACCACGGCAGCCATCCCCACAGCGACCACAGTCCAGCAGTTCTGGTGCAAGAAGGGACAGTGTGGGTGACCAGGCCCCTAGGCCTCCCTCCCCTGTCACACCCGCACCCTCTGTCAGCCCTACCCTGCACGGAGACATCCACGAAATCCAAGAAATTGATGCGCCACAGGGCCTCTATGTTGCCTGCCGCTGCCATGGCCCAGCAGCAGTTGCAGTTTTTCTGGAGGGTGAGAGGGTGAGGCAGGGCTAGGTGTTCGGGCCAGGCCCCTCTCTTTCCCACCACTTAGCTGAATTAGAGCGAGCTGGGTGGGGCAGATACCTGGTCCTTGATAGATGAGATGGCACCGGCCACCTTCCGCCAGTCACAGGTGAAAGGCACTGACTCCTCTGGCTCTTCGGACCCTATCTCTCTGCCCATGCCGGGGACCCTTCCAGCTGCCCTCCGATACCCGTAGAGCTGGCCAAACTCCTCCTCTGGGGAACAGACAGGGCCACTGAGGTCTCTGTTTTGACCCCTTCTCCCTGTTCTGCCTCTCCCACTCCAGCCGTTGGTCCCATAATGCCCTGAGGGGCAAAAAGGCCAGGATAGGCCGGGTGTGGTGGCTCATGCCTATAATCCCAGCACCTTGGGAGGCCAAGGCAGATGGATCACTTGAGGTCAGGAGTCTGAGACCCCATCTCCACAAAAAGTAGAAAAATTAGCTGGGTATGGTTGTGCGGGCTTGTAGTCCCAGCTACTTAGAAGGCTGAGAGGTTGGGGAAATTGCTGGAGTGTAGGAGGTAGAGGCTGAGTGAGCTATGATTGCACCATTGTACTGCAGCCTGGACAACAGAGCAAGACCCCGTCTCAAAAGGCAGGGGTGCCGAGCCTAGAGAGGCCAGACTCCCTGCTGGGTGCTTCCGTGCAGCTGCTGTGCTGGCCCCTAGGCTGGGCTAGGACACAGGGCTGCAGAGATTCTGCCCCTGCACTGGGTGATTTGATACCAGCACCCAAGCCCCTGGTCCTCAGGGAAATGAATTTCCTTCCCTGGGAAGTGAAAATTGAAGGTCCACTGGGTCCAGCTGCCAGTGTCCCTGGAGAGACCGCTTCCCCAACCACCACCTACAGGCCAGAAGGGTTAATGGTACCTGTGAGGTCACTGAATGGAGTCACCCCAAACTCAGCTGTGCCCAAGTCCTCCTCCTGCAGCCGCTGAGCCTGGGCCAGGTTGTGGGCAAAGATGTCCAGGCGGCGAGCATGCTCTGGACCAAGAGGGAGTTGTCCCAGGCTGACTCCCAAACCCTCAGGGGCAGGAAGTAGCCCTGGCTGGGCACCCTTCCACCCACACCCACCCAGCTGAGCACTGGCTGCTTTCGTGTAGCCCCTACAAGTCCCCACTGCAAATACCCAGGCCCAGGAAGTGGTTACCCAGCCCACCTAGGTTTGGGTTTTCCCCAGAGGCAGCAAGAGGACCATCTCTGGCCACCCTGGGTGGGAAGCCAGGCAAGGGGTCTGGTGGCGGTGACTCAAGGAAAGGATGCGCAACCAGAGACCAGCTTCCTGCCAGTCCACCTCCTTTACACCTCTGACCACAGGAGGAGAGCTGGAACATGACGGGGAGAGGAGACGACAGCATGGGCAGCCTGGGCTAAAAGGCACACGCAGACCAGCCCCCTAGAAAGATCAGTACAGTGAGAGGGCAGGGGCAGGGGTTAGTTCATGGGCTAGAGAAGAAGTCCCCAACGTGGGGACAAAATGGATGTCCTTGGGTGTTTGCTGAATGAACAAAGGACTAGGTGGTGGGCCCCTGCCCACTGCCTGGAATCGCAGGGAAGTGACTGTGGAGCCAGGGGATCATGTAGGACTAGGGCAGGACCTCACCCCCTGCCACTGCCCTCCAGATCCATAGCAAAGAATGATCCTGGACCCACTCATGCTTTCAGGAAACCAGGGAGCACATGCCCAGCCCTGCCCTGTCCTGCTGAGTGGCCTTGGCCATGCCTGTTCCCCACCCTGAGCTTCAATTTTTTCATCTATTACAAAGTGGGATGGCTGGGCTCGGTGGCTCACACCTATAATCCCAGTCCTTTGGGAGGCTGAGGCAGGTGGATCACCTGAGGTCAGGAGTTCAAGACCAGCCTGGCCAACATGGTAAAACCCCGTCTCTACTAAAAATGTAAAAGTCAAGTGTGGTGGTGCATGCCTGTAATCCCAGCTACTTAGAGGCTGAAGCAGGAGAATCGCTTGAACCTGGGAGGTGGAGGTTGCAGTGAGCCAAGATGACACCATTGCACTCCAGCCTGGTCAACAAGAGTGAAACTCCGTCTCAAAAAAAAATGGGGGCTTGGAGTGGAGATGTATGTGCCCTGTGATACCTTCTGGGCTCAAGTAACTCCGGTTGAACTGGATCTGGAACAGCTTGAAGGCCTCTTTCAGCTCCAGCGGCTGGGGACCGAGGTCCTGGCAAGGAACCAAGGGTAGAGAGGGGCAGTGGGCAGAGGAATCATTGCTGGGGCCCCACCTTAGCTCCTAGCTGTGCAAGGACTGGGCTAGGGGTCAGCCAGTTAGCCTTCTCTGTCTTCCCATGTGCACTTGGGCACGTCAGCCCCCTCTCCAGCCTCAGTGACTCCCTCTGAAAAATGAGAATGACAGGCCAGCTGTTTCTGAAGGGGTGACCCCAGGTGTGGGACTGGCAGCGGTAAGATTTTGGGAGCACTTACCTGGGCCCTAAGGGAGCCTCTGATGCCTTGGGCTAGGCCTGCCACCAACAGGGCCAGGAGGCAGGAAGGGTGCGCAGTCAGTGCCATGCTGGTGCAGTCTGGAGTGGCATGGAGGCAGGAAGCCGTGCAGATTGAGGAGGAGGGTGTGAGGGCAGGGCTGGAGAAACCACGAAGGGGAAGACAGGTTTGGTGGGTGAGGGGTGGAACCCTAGAACCCACAACTTATTCAGGCCTTCAGGCTTTCAGTCCTCTGCCTGTCTGCTCCCCAACCCACCCCTTTATCTTTCTTTCTTTCTTTCTTTCTTTTTTCTACCCAGGGTGGAGTGCGGTGGCACAATCTGGGCTCGCTGCAACCTCCACCTCCTGGGTTCAAGCAATTCTCCTGCCTCAGCCTTCCGAGTAGCTGGGACTACAGGCGTACACCACCATGCCCAGCAATTTTTTTGTATTTTCAGTAGATACAGGGTTTCACCATGTTGGTCAGGCTGGTCTTGAACTCCTGACCTCAGGTGATCCACCCGCCTCAGCCTCCCAAAGTGCTGGGATAACATGCGTGAGCCACTGCACCTGGCCAAAGGAACCATTCTTGCTCCTACTATGAAGCTCAGTCACCTCAATGGCTGCCTCTTTCAAGAAGCCTTCCCTGCTTCCCCAACCTCTGGTAGAAGCTTTGCAGCCCCTTCAGCCCAGCTGCACCTGTGCCCATTGGGCATCTGCCTCCAGCCACACCAGAAGTGTTTGGTTTGCTTGTGTCCTCGGTGCCCAGGATAGGGCTAGGCATGGGGCAGGCTCGCTAGGTGTTTGTTGACTGAACAATTGATCATCATAAGTTGTAAACAAGAAAGCAGGTTGGGCACAATGGCTCATGCCTGTAATCCCATCACTTTGGGAGGCCAAGGTAAGAGAATCATTTGAGCTCAGGAGTTGGAGACAAACCTGGGCAACTGAGCAAGACTTCATCTCTACTAAAAAAATAATTTAAAAAAGTTAGCCAAGCATGGTGGTGCCCTCCTGTAGTCCCAGCTACTGGGGAGGCTGAGGCCAGTGGGATTGCTTGAGCCTGGAAGATCAAGGCTGCAGTGAGCAATGATCATGCCACGGCACTCCAGCCTGGGTCCAAGATCCTGTGTCAAAAAAACAAAACCAGGCCAGGCACGGTGGCTCACGCTTGTAATCCCAGCACTTTCGGAGGCCGAGGCGGGTGGATCACCTGAGGTCAGGAGTTCAAGACCAGCCTGGCCAACATGGTGAAACCCTGTTTCTACTAAAAATACAAAAAAGTAGGTGGGTGTGGTGGCGGGTATCTATAATCCCAGTTACTCGGGAGGCTGAGGCACGAGAATGACTTGAACCTGGGAGGTGGAGGTTGCAGTGAGCCGAGATCGTGCCATTGCACTCCAGCCTGGGCAACAAGAGTGAAACTCCATGTCAACAAAACAAAACAGGAAAGCGCAGAGTCAGAGTCCAGGAGCAGCCATTGCTGCTAGTGCCTCCCGTTCCTCATCCCTCCCATGGTCTAGGGATGAGGATAAGGGGGCTGAAAAGCCAGAAGGATAACTGTGAGCATCACAGACAGAGGGAGGCCAAAATCTAACTTGTGAGGTCAAGGGCTGGGCAGCAGTATTAACACCCATTACTGCTGTCTGTGTTCTAAGTGGGTCCTTGGGCTGGAGACCTCCCCTCTAGGGGTTCAGGCTGAGAACTGGTGACCAAGACCAGAGAAGGATGTGAAGAGCTGGCTCTCTAGGGTTCCACGGGGCGGGAGACAGGACAGCTCTAATCCTGGGATTTATTCACTTACATGCTCACTACTGCATTTCTTTATTAGGATTCCTCCCAAAGTCATGAGGCCACACTGTATCGCCCTGCCCAGAGAGTAAGCCAAGGGGCTTCTCTATTTGAAAAGCATGCTGCTGCCTTTATTGAAATGCCATGGATAGACCATCCCCAGAGTGGTGCCTAGCCCTGTGGTTCTAGAGCCCAGTTACGGGCCCCAGCCAGGCTTGTCCTGTTGTGTGACTGATGGTTAAGGCTCCGTGTCAGCCCTCAGAGGTGGAGGTCCCAATGCGGGTCTGTTGTGATGGTAGGATGTGGGAGGCCATGGGGAGGAGGGACTGGAGGTGTGCGGCCCAGTGGCCTTCCTCTTTGATCCTCTCTTTCCTTCCCTTGAACGAGAGCTCCCAAGGCCAGGAGGTTTGGGTCTGTTTTTAGTCAGTGCTGTGTCCCTGGTGCCTAGCACCACAGCGTCTGCTTCACAGTGGCCACTCAGTAAACATTTTTTGTTTTGTTTTGTTTTTTTGAGACGGAGTCTCACTCTGTCACCCAGGCTGGAGTACAGTGTCATGATCTCTGCTCACTGCAACCTCTGCCTCCCGTGTTCCAGCGATTCTCCTGCCTCAGCCTCCCAAGTAACTGGGACTACAGGTGCACGCCACCATACTCAGGTAATTTTTTTGTATTTTTAGTACAGACAGGGTTTCACCATGTTGGTCAGGCTGGTCTCAAACTCCTGACCTCAAGCAATCCACCTGTCTCAGCCTCCCAAAGTGCTGAGATGACAGGCATGAGCCACTGCGCCTGGCCGAGTAAACTTGTTGAGTGGATCAGTGAACTTCCTCCACCCACTCACTCATTTGTCCATTCACCTGCCGACCCTGCAGATCCCTGCTGGCACACAGTAAGGGGTGGGCCACGGGCACAGGGGCCTCACTGCCTGAGAGGAGCTCACTACTTGGTCGGAGAGAGACACTGATCCAGTGGTGTCTGGGACCTTGAAAGGGACCCAGTGCAGAGCAGGCCAAGGCAGGGAAAGTCACTGAGGGTGCAGAGGACCGGGGAGGCATTCTGAGGAGGCAACTCCAAGTGGGAGGCTCATTCAGGCTGGATAGTGCAAAGATGGAGGTTCAGGTCCAGGTTGTGCACCAGCCGTGCACTAAGTCATCCCCCCGGGCCTCATGTCTTCATCTCTAATTGGCAATGACAATTCTCAGGCTGAGGCTCGAGTGGAAAGATACTTAGTGGAGCACCCAACACTGTGGCACAGAGTCAGTGTTCGCAGGGCGGGTGCTTCATGCTCTAATATGGGGCAAGGAGTTCAGCGGGTCTTGAAGTCCATGGGACATGAGTGCAAGTCCCATCCTTCACCTGGGACAAGTCTCTCAGCCTCCCTATCTGTGAAACGGGGTGATAGCAGCACCTCTTTCCTGCCTTTTTTAATTTTTTTATTTTTATTTTTATTTTTATTTTTTTTTTGAGACGGAGTCTCGCTCTGTCGCCCGGGCTGGAGTGCAGTGGCTGGATCTCAGCTCACTGCAAGCTCCACCTCCCGGGTTTACGCCATTCTCCTGCCTCAGCCTCCTGTGTAGCTGGGACTACAGGCGCCCGCCACCATGCCCGGCTAGTTTTTTGTATTTTTTAGTAGAGACGGGGTTTTACCGTGTTAGCCAGGATGGTCTCGATCTCCTGACCTCGTCATCCACCCGTCTCGGCCTCCCAAAGTGCTGGGATTACAGGCTTGAGCCACCGCGCCCGGCCTCCTGCCTTTTTTTATATTTCCTTTTTTTGAGACAGGGTCTTGCTCTGTCGCCCAGGCTGGAGTGCAGTGGCACGATCTCGGCTTACTGCAACCTCCACCTCTCAGGTTCAGGTGATTCTCCTGCCCCAGCCTCCTGAGTAGCTTACAGGTGTTCACCACCATAGCCAGCTAATTTTTGTCGTTTTAGTAGAGTTGGGGTTTTGCCATGTTGGCCAGGCTGGTCTGGAATTCCTGACCTCAGGTGATCCACCCACCTTGGCCTCCTAAAATGCTGGGATTACAGGCATGAGCCACCATGCCCGGCCTATTGTGATATTATTACAGACTATAAACTTCACTTTTTTTTTTAAGATGGAGTCTCGCTCTGTTGCCCAGGCTGGAGTGCAGTGGAGTGATCTCGGCTCACTGCAAGCTCTGCCTACCAGGTTCACGCCATTCTACCGCCGCCTCAGCCTTCCAAGTAGCTGGGATTACAGGTGCCCACCACCATGCCTGGCTAATTTTTTTGTAGAGATGGGGTTTCGCTGTGTTAGCCAGGATGGTCTTGATGTCCTAACCTCGTGATCTACCCGCCTTGGCCTCCTAAAGAAACTTCACTTTTTTGAAGTGTACAATTCAGTGGGTTTTAGTATGTTTGCATAGTTATGTGACCATCACTACTATCTAGTTTTAGAATATTTTCATTATCCCAAAGAAAACCCAGACCCATTAGCAGTCACTCCCCATTCCCCACCTTCCTCTGGCAACTATTAATCTACTTTCTGTTTTTCTGGGTTTGCCTATTCTGGTTATTTCATATAAATGTAATATGTGTGCTGGGCACGGTGGCTTACGCCTATAATCCAAGCACTGTAGGAGGTTGAGGTGGGTGGATCACCTGAGATCCGGAGTTCGAGACCAGCCTAACCAATATGGTGAAACCCCGTGTCTACTAAAAACACAAAATTAGCCGGGCGTGGTGGCAGGCACCTGTAATCCCAGCTACTCGGGAGCCTGAGGCAGGAGAATTGCTTGAACCCGGCAGGCAGAGATTGTGGTGAGCCGAGATCATGCCATTTCACTCCAGCCTGAGCAACAAGAGCAAAACTCCACCTAAAAAAAAATAAAAAATAAATAGAATATGTGGCTTTTTGTGTCTGGCTTCTTTCACTTCACATAATATTTTCAAGAATTCACCTATATTGTGGCATGCATCCGTACTTCATTCCTTTTTATGGCTGAAAAATGTTCCACTGTATGGATGTACTGCATCTTGTTATTCATCAGTTGACAGATTGTGTGTTGTTTCTGCATTTGGCTCTTATATATAATGCAGCTGTAAACGCTGTGTACAGATGTGTGTGTGTGTGTACATATCTTTTCAATTATCCTAGGTTTGTGTCCCTAGGAGTGAAATTGCCAGGTCATCTGATAACATTTTGAGGAACTGCCAAACCATTTTCCACCAACAGTGCATGAGGGCTCCAGTTTCTCCATATCTTTGCCAACACTTGTTATTGTCTTTCTCGTTTTAAAGAGCTATTATTATTATTATTATTATTATTATTTTGAGACGGACTCGCTCTGTCACCCAGGCTGGAGTGCAATGGCACAATCTCGGCTCATTGCAACCTCTGCCTCCCAGCTTCAAGAGATACTTCTGCCTCAACCTCCGGAGTAGCTGGGATTAGAGGCAGTACCACCACACCGGCTAATTTGTGTTTTTGTTGGCCAGGCTGGTCTTGAACTCCTGACCTTGTGATCTGCCCACCTCGGGCTCCCAAAGTGTTGGGGTTACAGGCGTGAGCCACTGCGTCTGGCCTATTATTATTATTATTTATTTATTTTTGAGACGGAGTCTTGCTTTGTCACCCAGGCTGGAGTGCAGTGGTGTGATCTGGGCTCACTGCAAGCTCTACCTCCCGAGTTCAAGCGATTCTCCTGCCTCAAGTTCCCGAGTAGCTGCGACCACAGGCACGCGCAACCACGCCTGGCTAATTTTTATATTTTTAGTAGAGATGGTGTTCCAGACTGGTCTCGAACTCCTGACCCCAGGTGATCCACCCGCCTCGGCCTCTCAAAGTGCTGGGATTACAGGCGTGAGCCACTGCGCCCGGCCCCTGAAGAACTATCATTTAACCTTCTGGCCCCAGCGGCTGGGAGGGATGGTGGTGGTAGAGTGGCGAGGAGCGGGAACTGCGCAGTTAACCTGAACCCCAGGCGCTCGCCTCGGGACCCACCAGCACGTCCCCTCCTTGGCAGGCTGGGGTCACGTGGAGGGCGACTGTAGGGATAAGCAGGGATGGCAAAGGGAAAGGAAGGGCGGGCCCCAGGCGGGGGATCCCCGGACACGCAGCGATTTCCCGCCTGGCTCCGCCCGGAGACGTGGGCAAACAGAGGCCACTCCCCTTCCTGGGAGCCAGCACCGCCCATACTCCGCCTCCAAGGACACGCCACTTGGGGCGGAGGCGGAAACCGGGCGGGGGACGCGGGTGCGAGGAGGTCGAGGAGGCACGTTGGCACCCGACCCTGGCATCCTGCACGTCCGACATCAGCCCTGCCCTCCTTCTCAGGGGCTTCCATTCATTTTGTGCCACAAGGGAACTGCCGCCCTCGCCCCCAAACTTGTAGCTTTGTGGATGGAGGGTGTGGGTGACGCCGTGTGCAGTGAAGACCACCTGGCTGAAGACGGTCCTGGGGGTGGAGGGCAGGAGGGAGCGAGAAGGACAATTCTGCACCTGGGAGCCTCTCGTTCCTGGGCGAGGGTCTGGGGACCCTGGATGAAGTTTTAGGATGTTTTAGAATGACGGTCTGGGGCAGAGAATAAAATTTTGAAGGGAGCAGATTGAGGGTCTGGAGGACTGGGTGAGGTGGGCTCTGAGTACCCAGGACGATCTCGGGAGGCGCAGAATGAGAATCTGGGGGCTCCAGGATTACAGTGTGGATGCACAGGATGAAATTCTGGGGGCGCAGATTAGGTAGGATCTAGGCGAGCAGCATGACATTTTTGGTGAGCGTCTGGGGGTCCCCGGGTGAGTCTGGGTGCCTGGCATCAAGGTCAGGGCCCCAGGATCGAGCGCTGGGGGACCCTGGACCAGCGTCGGGAGGTGGCTCCGGGCGGCGCCGCGGGGGACCGGGTGGGGGCCTGTGGCTGGCCGGGGGCGGAGAAGCTGGGGGTCGGGGTCCCTCCCCCTGGCGCGGGCTCAGGAATCCGCCGAAGGGCGGGCGGAGGCGCCGGGGTGGGCCGCGTCGCGGCAGGCGGGCGGGCGGGCGGGGGGCGCTTCCTGGGGCCGCGCGTCCAGGGAGCTGTGCCGTCCGCCCGTCCGTCTGCCCGCAGGCATTGCCGGAGCCAGCCGAGCCGCCAGAGCCGCGGGCCGCGGGGGCGTCGCGGGCCCAAGTGAGTGGCTGTGACCGTCCGTGGGGGAGAGCGCGGGCCGGAGTCTCGGCCGAATCCGCGGCAGCGTAGCGCCCACAGAGGCCCGCGCTCCTCGGCCTTCGCCGCAGGGGCGCGGGGCGGGGTGGCCGGGGCGGGTGGGCCTGGGGCCCGGGGCCCGGGACCTGGGCCTGTGAGGAGTCGGCCCCCAGCCCTGGGAGGCCCCGAGACCCAAGCACGTTCCTGAGCGGGCAGTGGCGGGGGCTGGGCTCGGACTCCCGACACAAGGAGCGGGGTGCCGCGGCAGAGGCCCTTGACCGGTGTCCACCATCTCGCAGCCCCAGGATGCTCCCCTGCGCCTCCTGCCTACCCGGGTCTCTACTGCTCTGGGCGCTGCTGCTGTTGCTCTTGGGATCAGCTTCTCCTCAGGATTCCGAAGAGCCCGACAGCTACACGGTGGGGACAGTGAGGGCCGCTGGCCTGGGATGGGGAGGGTAGGGAGGAAGAGACCCGGACCCCGGGGTGGCTGCTGCCGGGGAAGTCTCCTTCTCCTGGCTGGTGGAGGGCTGGGGGCCATTGTTTGGAGCAGGCCGGAGGGTGGCCAGGCTCAGGCCATAGTGTTGGCCTGGTCAGTTGGAGGAGATCTTTGGGTGACCACTGGCCACTTCTGGTTCCCTTCCAGGAATGCACAGATGGCTATGAGTGGGACCCAGACAGCCAGCACTGCCGGGGTGTGTGTGCCTGGGGGACCAAACACCCCCAGGAACCCAGAAAGGGATTGATAGCTGCTTTCCAAGGGACAGCCCCACATCCGAGAGCTGCCACGGGAGCCCAGCAGCTCGTCCTATGCCCAGCTCTGCTACACCGAGGCCAGCTCTGGTTCTCTGGAGGCCAGTTCAGCTAGGGGTGGCCTTGCCCTCTCCCAGAAACCCAGGAAACCTTGCCCCTACCCCTCAGAAGAGCTGGATCCTGTACGCCTTATCTGAACCACTCTCCTGTCCCAGCTCTTTGTCTCATCACAACCTGGGAGGGTAGTGTCCCCAGGGGTGGGTAAGGAGGCCCCCGCTCTTGGGCTGAGCTAGGGCTAGGGCTGTGGGGAGGGATAGAGACCCACTTGCAGGCCAAGAATGAGGGCAACAGTGGGAACAGCTGCCCCACCTCCAGCCTTGACCAACCCTGGGGAGGGGTCCCGGGCAGGCAGACTTAGCTTGTTGAGCAGAGTGGGAAGGCTTTGCTGGGGCCACACATCTCGGAGAAGGCCGAGCTGGGCTCCTGCCTCCGCTCCCTCCAGGGCCAGCCTAGGAGACTGGCTGTGCCCAGCAGGCCCCTCTCTGCAGATGTCAACGAGTGTCTGACCATCCCTGAGGCCTGCAAGGGAGAAATGAAGTGCATCAACCACTACGGGGGCTACTTGTGCCTGCCCCGCTCCGCTGCCGTCATCAACGACCTACATGGCGAGGGACCCCCGCCACCAGTGCCTCCCGCTCAACACCCCAACCCCTGCCCACCAGGCTATGAGCCCGACGATCAGGAGAGCTGTGTGGGTGAGTGGGGACTGCTCTGGTGCCTGGCTTCCAGTCCTCTCACCAAGCGTCTTAAACTCAGACCTCATGTTCCTTCCCGGCTCAAAAGGGCCGCTGGTGACGTCCACACCCTCATCCAGACACTCATGTTGTTTGCGACCTGCCACAGGTGGCCCCAGCTTGTGCGCCACTGCTCCAGCCAGCTCCGGCCACCTCCCCTTGGTTGCTGCAGAGATACTGCAGGAACTCTGACTTCCAGTGTCTGTCCCCTGGGAGCCACAGGCCTTGGAGGAAGGACAGTCCAGGAATCAGTGCTTCTGGGGGTGTGTGGACAGGACCTTATTTCCTATGCAACCCCCAACATGCGGTTTTAGAGGTTAGGGGTGCCTTTCCTGTTGGCTCCAGGCTGGTGAACTCTTACGTGTGCTGTTGAGAGAACTGAATTCAAGTGTTGGATCTATGTGTCATGTTGGGTGGTGTGCGGGATCCCAGGCAGGGGCTGAGTGGTGTCTCTCGCAGATGTGGACGAGTGTGCCCAGGCCCTGCACGACTGTCGCCCCAGCCAGGACTGCCATAACTTGCCTGGCTCCTATCAGTGCACCTGTCCTGATGGTTACCGCAAGATCGGGCCCGAGTGTGTGGGTGAGTCCAGGGAGCAGCTTCTCTAGGCTCTGTGACCCTGGTCTGGCCCTTGCCCTAGCACCTGACCCCCATTCAACCCACGCTTCACCCCCAGCCCCTGCCACCTCACCCTCCTGTCATCAGACACAGAGGACTGTATGGGGGTGTATTTGGGAGGTGTCCTGGCTGACCCTGCCCAATTCAGCTCCCCGGACACAGGCAGGATTATGGGTGGTTAAGCCTTGAGTCCCAACTGGCTCGAGCCCACCTGCCCTCTGCCCTCTGCCCTCCTTCTTCTGCCTCTATCCCAGACATAGACGAGTGCCGCTACCGCTACTGCCAGCATCGCTGCGTGAACCTGCCTGGCTCCTTCCGTTGCCAGTGCGAGCCGGGCTTCCAGCTGGGGCCTAACAACCGCTCCTGTGTGGGTGAGGCTGGGCCGGGCCAGGCTCCTGGGTCCTGGGCAGGGAGGTGTGAGGTGGGGGCGCTCCCTCCCTGACCAGCCCAGGTAGAGTGGAGGCTCTGGGCTGCTCCTCCGCTTTCATCCCTGTTTTACCTGGCACCCCCAGATGTGAACGAGTGTGATATGGGGGCCCCATGCGAGCAGCGCTGCTTCAACTCCTATGGGACTTTCCTGTGTCGCTGCCACCAGGGCTATGAGCTGCACCGGGATGGCTTCTCCTGCAGTGGTGAGAGCTCCACCCCTGCTGCGTACTCCTCCATGAGCCCCCAGGCCCTACCTATGCTGTGCTTCCTGCCACACAGTTCTCCATTTGAGGCCTCCGCGTCCCGTCACTGTGCACCCAGCTGCCTCCCGGTACTCCACTCCGGCTGGCTGTGGAGCACTGCCAGACCAGTGGGGAAGGCACAAGAAGAGGCAGCTAGGTCCCTACTGAAGCCTACTGGGGAGACTGAGGATGTGGGTGCCACTTGTCCCACGTGTCAGGCTCACCTGCATTTACCTGCATTTGAATTTTGCACTAGGACAAGTCGCTTCTCTCTGAGCCTGTTTCTGCTTCTGTAGTGGGTTGTGTTGAGGATTAGGTGAGAGTGTCATAGATGGGCTCCAGCCTCTCTCAAGCTGCAGTGCTTTAAAGTGAATTGACTGCCACTTAATGAGAACCTGCCCTTGTAGTGTGTTCCCTGACACACTTGGCCTCCTTCCTCTCAAGAATCCTAGGAGGTATGATTTTCTCCTTCCTCTACAAAATGAGGACATTCAGATCTCCCTCCAGGTTTGTTGAGAGGATTACATTAAAATAAGCACAAAGTCCTGGGTAAATGGTGACTTTCATTATTCAGCTAAAAGAGGTTAAGTGACCTGCCCGAGTTCATACAGCCAGGATGAGATGGGGCCAGGGCTCGATCCTAGACTTCTCACACACACCCTGTCAACTGGCACATACCCTCTATGTTATGCTTCGCTGCGGGATGAGGCCTCACTGCTACCTGGCAGCATGAGTGGAACAAGAGAAGGGAAATGGTCTGCCTGTGAAGCTCAGTTAGCTGGAGGTGACCACTGGGTGCTCGGGCTGACTGTGGGTTGCAGGAATTAGGCAGGTTACAGCACAGGGCGGACCCATGAGACTCATCTAGTCTAACACACTCATTTTACTGATTGGGAAAATAAGATTCCCCTAAATCAGCCGGTGGGATTCACACCCAAGCCTCTAGATTCCCACTAACTTTATTCAGTGTTTCCTCCAGTTCTGGGCAGAGAGAAGTCTGAGCTGGGGCAGCCTGGGCAGAACTTTGTTTGAACCCTCCATCTCTCGGCTGAGCTTGTGGCTTGTCTCATCCCCCTGTCTTCCTACATTCAGCCTAACACGGGGCTGGGCCTTCTTAGGAAATGTTTGTGGGACTGAATGGTAAAGACTGCCCTTGACCCGGGGTCCCCATCCCCATGCTTCCTCAGATATTGATGAGTGTAGCTACTCCAGCTACCTCTGCCAGTACCGCTGCGTCAATGAGCCAGGCCGTTTCTCCTGCCACTGCCCACAGGGGTACCAGCTGCTGGCCACACGCCTCTGCCAAGGTACAGGTTGCGTGGGTGGGATGGGCAGGATGGTGTCAGGAGCTGGCAGCCTGACGCCCCCGATTCTAGCCCCTCTCCCCTGGCACAGACATTGACGAGTGTGAGTCTGGTGCGCACCAGTGCTCCGAGGCCCAAACCTGTGTCAACTTTCATGGGGGCTACCGCTGCGTGGACACCAACCGCTGTGTGGAGCCCTACATCCAGGTCTCTGACAAGTGAGTCAATTTGATGCCAGGCCCCGAGAGAAACTACGTCTCCCAGGGGGCTTTGGGGCTGACTGGCATCTATTCGGACAAGTGAGTGCCCCTGAGGGCTGATGGGAACCATAGTCCTTCATGACAACCAGTCACAGGGGTGGGAGGGTCCTTTTGGAATTCCCTTCCTTTGTAGGGTAGGAGAAATTGGGGGGACAGGCACGGAGCTCATTCATGTCCCCCACCTCGGGGTCTCTAGCCGCTGCCTCTGCCCAGCCTCCAACCCTCTGTGTCGAGAGCAGCCTTCATCCATTGTGCACCGGTACATGACCATCACCTCAGAGCGGAGCGTGCCCGCCGACGTATTCCAGATCCAGGCGACATCTGTCTACCCCGGTGCCTACAATGCCTTTCAGATCCGTGCTGGAAACTCGCAGGGGGACTTCTACATTAGGGTAAGGTTTCTGCAACCCTCAACTGACATGCACAATCTAAAACTGAACTCCAGGACACCTTAAGGGGGAACTCGGCCAGGCTGCTATGCCCCGCCCCTCCCCAAAGCCCCACCCCCGGGAGGCGGGATTTCTGTAGGACGACAAGGGTATTCTAAATTCCCATGGTGCAAAGGGCAGATGGTTAAACGCAATTCTAACGAAGCACTCGGACATGGGAGTTTGAGTCCTGGTACTGGTTTTCCATATCTGATCTCAATTTCACCCACAAACCAAGGGAATGGCGTGTGCAGGGGCCTGGGGTCAGAAAGTCCACTCCTTGCTGGTGGATGTGTTAGGTGGGAGGGGGCCAGGGGTGGCTCACAGTGAGCTGCTCATGGTGAGTGGCAGCAGCATGCATGGGTCTCACCAGGAGAAGGGGTTTGTCTAGAACCAGCGCTTCTCTTTCATTTTGAAACTGAATGCTCTGAAGGGAGTCTGCTGACTTTGGATCACCAAAGGTCCCACCACTCCCAAGAGCCACATGGTGACCTTGAATCATCAGTTAGCCTGGGTCAGAGAGAACGAGCTGGAAAGGGTGGGAAGAGCCCCAGCAGGAGATTTCTGAAGGCAGGAGCCTGGGTTGGGGAGTAGAGATGTTGAGGGTGTCAAAGAGCTGGATGAGAGTCTGGGGTCGCAGCCTGACCAGGGCTGTCCCTCCACCTCACAGCCACGGGGCAGGGAGGTGACGCTGGGGCAGGGGCCTAGCACACAGGCTGACACAACATATATCCCTCCACCCACTGCCCTGCAGCAAATCAACAACGTCAGCGCCATGCTGGTCCTCGCCCGGCCGGTGACAGGCCCCCGGGAGTACGTGCTGGACCTGGAGATGGTCACCATGAATTCCCTCATGAGCTACCGGGCCAGCTCTGTACTGAGGCTCACCGTCTTTGTGGGGGCCTACACCTTCTGAGGAGCAGGAGGGAGCCACCCTCCCTGCAGCTACCCTAGCTGAGGAGCCTGTTACGAGGGGCAGAACGAGAAAGGCAATAAAGGGAGAAAGAAGGAGTCCTGGTGGCTGAGGTGGGCGGGTCACACTGCAGCAAGCCTCAGGCTGGGGCAGGGTGGGACTTGGGGGGGCAGGCCAAGTTCACCTAAATGGGGGTCTCTATATGCTCAGGCCCAGAGGGCCCCATTGACAGGAGCTGGGAGCTCTGTACCACGAGCTGCAGCCACCCTGAGAGGAGAGGAGGTAACGAGGAGGGTGGACTCCAGGCCCTGGCCCAGAGATGTGGACTTGGCTGGCTTGCAGGGGTCCTAAGAAACTCTACTCCGGAGAGCGTTAGGAGGCTCTGGGTTCCAGTCCTAACTCTGCCTCAAACTGTACATTTGGATAAGCCCTAGTAGTTCCCTGGGCCTGTTTTTCTATAAAAAGAGGCAACTGGACTGTTAGTGGTTTTCAAGCTTTTCTTTTAGGAAGTTTTATTTATTTTTATTATTTGTATTTTCCCAATGAGCCCTCTGCACTCCTAAGGAAGTTTTATTGGATGAGGACCAACTGATGACATAAAATCGATTCAAAGCTGCAGTGCCCCACTGACTCCATCTCCCTGACCAGGCAATCCCAGGTCCTAAGCAGCTTTGTTTAAAAACCACTGGTCCAGACAGTATCCCTGGTTCCTGCGTATTTCACGAGGTCCCCAGGGCCAGCCATCTTCTACCTAACACATATGGCTGCAAACACTTAGATTCTAATTTTACTCCAAAAGATGCTGTTAAAAGGCTGGCTAGCCTGCGTGGGGGTACAGATGGGGGTTGGAGGCTGTTTCACAGCATAAGCTCAGGTCAGGGGGCTGTAGCTGCAGTAGAGCTGGGATAAGGTCCTGCTCAGAGCAGGCCCCAGATTCCTGCAGGAAGAGAGGCAGCGAGGGTCACACCCTGGGCCTAGGGCAGCCCCAGTCCCCACCACTCCCTCCAGGTTCCGTCTCTTGCCCTCACCTCTGTAGACGCCCACACTTGATGGTGCTTAGCAGTGTCTCTTGTTCCTTGGGGGTGGCACAGGCATCATAGGCGGCCAGGAGGCTGGGGGACAGGGGCTTGAGTTTCTGAGGCTGACAGTGGTCCACTCTAGGCCAGCACCATGAGGAGCCAGGCAGAGGGGTCAGCATGGGATAAAAGAGTTGGGACACTGCCCCACTTCCTGAGCCTGGCACTCAAGGCCCCAGGCCAGCCTGGCTGTCCTCCCTCCCTGTGGGAACCCTGGGGCAAAACCAGCAAAGGCTCCAAACCATCACCTCACTCCCCTTAATGGCCCAGCCCCCTTCTCCAAGAAGCCTCTTCGCCACCACGTGGGACATCTCCCTCCCTCCTGTGGCCTCCAATGCCTGGGACACTGTGTGGGTCTGCTGGCTTCCTCCCCGCTTGACCTCCACGAGCACCCTGGGATCTGTCCATCTCTGGTCTGCACAGCCCACACAAGGCCAAGCTCCTCCACGAAGCATGGATTAAGGTGAATTCCATGCACGGAGGGCAGGGGCTGAGGACACCTAAGGGCCCTCTAGGGCCTACCTGGCAGGGGTGCTGTATCGATCCACCAGGGCTGCTGCTTTCTCCCCACTCACTCCGCGCACCTGCATCAGCTGCCGGGCAAACACTTCTCGAACTGACTGGGCCTGGGTTTGGGGAAGGGCTGGATCAGTGGGGGTCTGGGCCAGGCCACGTCCGAGAAACTGGGCAGAGACAGTACCTTATTTTTGATGGCTCCTGCGTTGAAGTCACTGAAGGTGAGGAGTGAGCAGAGAGGGTTTGGAGAGGGCATGGCCCCTGATTCAGGGTTCCCAGGGGTTCCCCAGGGGCGGCTGCGTAGGGTGTGGCCCTGAGGGAAGAAGGGACTGAGGCCAGGCTGGAGCTCGAAGGGACAACTCCAGCCAGCCCCTGCCCAGTCCTCAGCCTCGGGGGGCCAGCCTGAGAAATGAGGATCTCACCCACCTTGCTTCTTTTGGGGATGCACAGGGCCCAGGCAAGGTGAATTCCTTGTGGGCTGTGTCCCGACACTGGGACAGGGGCCTCTGCTCACCTGGTAGAGTCTCTGCAAGCCCCGCGTCAAGAGGGCCAGATAGGCAGCTGACTCCTTAATGTCTGCTGTGCGCTTCACAAAAAAGCCATCAATGACCTGGGGAAAAGGACCCAAGAGAGGGAAGGTGGTTCCTGGCCCAGACCATGAACCACGGACCACAGTGGCCCCTGCCTGCCTGGCCCTGCCCTCCCCACTCACCTGAGTGTTAGTGACAGCCTGCAGCAGCGTACTCTCAGGAAGGCTGAGATTGTGAACCGAGCCATGCTCTTCCACCAGGTATACCCGGCGCTCCAGGCCACAGCGCTTCAGGCGGAACTGGGGAAGTGGACAGAGTGGGCAGGGAGGGTCAGGCTGGATGACCACATGCCTGGGCGTCCATGATGTCACACTCAAAATGGTGCTATGACCCTGTTCCCACCAGTTAGCCTCTGCATCCTCCCTAGCCTCTCCACCTGCCTCAGAGGGGCCTCCACAGCTTTGCTCATGCTGACACTCTTGTCTAGAAAGCCCTTCCTCCATCTCTCAACGTCCTTCAAGCCTCCCCTGGGCCGGTACATGGCCTCTGTGACTAGGGGGTCCACCCAGCAGCAAGTACCAAGGTACAGCTTCTGTATTTCCAATTCTGGAGGTTTAAGCCTTGTTTATCCAAGACTGCAGGGGCTCAGTACCCAAGAGGTCTTTAATATGCTCCTGAGCTCAGCCCAAAAATGCAGGTACCTGGCTTCCTACTGTGCGCCTGGACAGGCCTGTGGGGGTCTGATCCTGGAGCAACCACAGGGTGGATGTGGCTGGATTCCAAAGGGCTCTGCCTCAAGGAGGCTGCCAGAAGTGCCCCTGGATTGCTCTGGGCTGAAAAGGGCGGCCTCAGAGCAGTCAGGGAAGCCTGGCAAAGCCAGCAAAATTACCTTCTGCTCCCGGAAGCGGCCGTCAATGATGCTGCTGCAAAGGTCATCCAGCCGCTTGCGCTCTACAATGTGGTCCAGTACCAACTCCCCAGGGCTCGCTGCTGACAAGCCGGCCATTAGCTTGTGATCCCCACCCACCAGGCCCTGCCCCTGGCGCCAGCCTGCCCACGGCCCTTCACCTGGGTCTCTAGGATTGGTTTCCTGTGCCACCCATACAAAATCCCCAACGTGCAGCTTGCGCACTGTGTGGGTCACGTGCAGCCGCTGTAGTTCTCGGAGCAGCTCTGGCCTGTGCCCGCCCCTGGAGTGGCAAGGAGGGAATCCTAGATCAGGGCAGGGCAGTGCCTACCCCCCAGCCTCCCCCGATCGTCTACCTCATTTCTCCCCACCTCACTCACCCCCGGGTCTCGCCAATGTCCACACACAACAGCACCCTGTACTCTCCAGGCCTCAGCTCCAGTGGTGGCTGCTGGACGCCTGCTTCACTGGCACTAAGTGGGGGGTATCGATATGTGAGACCAGAACCCCTTGTGCTAGGGCAGTTGCCCCACACCCATACCACCTGACACCCACCACCCACCTGCAGTAGGGAAGCAGCCACAGCTCAGCTACAGGTGATGGATAGAGGTGGGGTTTTGGCCTCATTTCCCATCCCCTCCCTGTTTTCCCCCCTCCTCCGCCCTCCTTCTCACAGCTCTGCTGAAGCTGCTCCTGGCACTGCTGTCTCCTCCCCAGGGGGCTCCTTAGGCCCGATGCCCACATTCAGCAAGCTCAGGCCTTCTGACTCGGCTAACTTCTGGGCCAGCTCCAGGCCCTCTGGGGTCAATGAGTACCTGGGAGGCAGAGGGGAAAAATACAGCTCTCCCTTCTTCACTCATTCCTGGCAGGCTCTCCTGCCTGCCCCCAGCTGGGCTGGCCTCACCGCCCCCTTGGCGCCCTGCACAAATGACCCCAGTGGCTCCTGCTGCTCCTGGTCTTCTTGGCTCTTAGAGCAGTTCCTTGGACCTGCTCAGCTCCATTCTCAGGTCTGCAAGAAGTGTGTCTCAGACAATTTCCTTCCTTCTATCTTCACTAATGCTGTTTTCTCCTCCTCGAAATACTTATCCTGAATCTCTACCTGCCAAATCCTAAAACGTGTCAAATGCTATCTCCTCTGAAAAGTCTTTCTACTCCTCCAATAACCACGGCACCTTCCCACCCCCGTGCCTGCGGTTTCACACCCTCCAGGTACTCCAACAGTGGGGGCTCCTGAGGAAAGGCCCCCAACCTCAACAGCATCAGCTCTGGGAGTTGTTGAGTGACTCTAAGGCCCCACTAAGAAGTTCACGTGTGCTTTCCTGTATCTCCTGCAGTTGGCCCCACCTGGCTGGCTGGTGTGTCCTGAGGACCAGGTTCCTGTGGAGGAGAGAGCGGAGGGCTGGCCAGGGTCGAGCACTCCCAGGGGCTACCTGTGGATCAGAAAAGAGACCATCAGAGAGCACCTGGTACCACCACAAGTCCATGTTCCCTGTGTCCCCAGCCACGGGCCACACAGGGGCCCACTGCAAGAAAAGGCAGTCTTTGGTGGGCTCCAGAGCCACTTGGGCCTGTCTTCTCCAATCCCTGTGCTCACCCTGGGGGCCTTCTGAGCACACCTCTGCAGCAGCTCCTCCTTGGTTAAGAAGTGGTAGCCATTAGGATTCTGAAACCAAGGTAGAAGAGACAGGGTAGGCTCAGTGCCAGCGACCCTCCTCATCCCGCTCAGGTGGCTGGGATAATCTTTGCCTGCCTTGCCAGGGCTAGGCACCTCTGGGAACCTCCCACCCCACTGCCATGGTTCCGCCCAGTGCTCACCAGGTGCTCTCGGTAGAGCATCAGCAGTATCACTCGGGCTCCTGAGTGCCGAGCTGGCCAGTAGTTGCCAGAGCCTCCCGCTTTGGACTGGGCAGGAACCTGAAAGGTACAGAGGAGCTCTGAACGTGAACGCCAGCCAGTCATCTTCGAATAAGTCCCCAACAGGCTTTGTGGCCCTGGGTAAGTCACTCAGTTATCTCTCAGTTTCCTTCTCTGTAAAACGGGCCAGGTGATGGGATGGCCCACTGCAAATGTGGGATGAGACAGCAGGCAGTTTCCGGGCAGCGGGTGGGGGTGTCTGCCCAGCCTGGCCTCAGTTCTACCACGCGCTGCAGAACAGGTGTGATTAGACAGGGAAACTCAATAATGGTGACCCTGTAACTAACTGAGCTGGGCTCCCTAAGTAGCTTGATCATGGAATTCTCTCGTTGGCTGTTACCAATATTCCTATTCACAGATTAAAATACTAAGTCAAAAAGAGGGTAAGTCATTTGCTCAAGGCCAGGAATCACTGGTGAGATTTGGACTCAGGCTTGCCAAATCCCCCAAGCCAGAAAATCATACTCCCGCACTCCCACTTTGCCTTCCGCTCCCCTAGCCCCTTCCTCACTGGCATGGAAGAGTCCTGGACT